TTCTGAGTTCTGGGTGAACTCAAACTACACTTTTTAGTTGGAAACTAGGTGTGTTAAGCATTGGCAACACTGGGAGGAAAAAAAACTAATTTGGATTTTGATAATAAAATGCATGTGTTTTAGAGATAAGATAAGGTAAGAGTTTAGGGCTACTAATGCAGAATTGAGGAATCCTGTTGTGGCGCTGTGGGTTAATGCACCAGACTGCAAAGCTGTTTGAACTGCAATGTCATTGGTTCAAACTCACCAGCTGCTCCTTCAGAAACCCTATGTAGGGTCACTATGGGTGGAAACCGACTCGACGGCACTTAACAACAACAACAACAACAATGCAGAATTGAAGTTTATTTATTGCACAATTAAAACGAGAGTAAGCAAGTTCTTGAGGTGTGGTGAGAGGACAGAGACTTAAAGAATGTTAGCAGTAAAGGTGCAGAAAGAAGAGGAGGAGCCAGCAAAGAGGGCAGAAGACAGAGACAGCATTAGTTGTAACTCCAGCTCCAAGCTGGAATTCCTGAAAAACTTACTGAGGTATCATGTGACCTACGAGTCCTGGTATAGAGCTGTGGGATAAAGCCCTGGACCTCAACATTGGTTTGAACAACAAGGTCAGTGGTCCAAACTCACCAGCCGCTACTTGGAAACCCTAAACAGGGTCACTATGAGTCGGAACCAGCTCAATGTCACTGAACAACAACAAAGAGTGTTCTGTAAATTCATTAAAAAAACTTTGTCATGTGAGAGAAGTAAGTGAAAATATATTTCAATTTTTCTTACATCATTATCTTTTAAGCTGACCAACTTCTATTAATTTCCCTTATTTTACCTACAGGGAAGGATTAAAGTCTATCCATTTTGCAGGACCTTTGACAAAGACTTTATTCAATGGGGCTTCCTCCACAAAAGAAACCCTGGTGTTTCGACAGCTAAGCACTTAGCTGCTAACTCAGAGGTTAGAGGTTTAAACTCCCTAGTCATTCCATGGGAGTCTATTTCCATAAAGTGTCAGAATTGACTTGATGGCAGTTTTTGGTTTTTTGGTTTTCCTCCACAAGCTGTGGTAGCCTTGGAAACTCACAGGTTAATGAAGAAATAGGCAAAAACTGTCTTCAGAGACTCATCTTACCTTTTGTCTTCTTTTTACCCTTATTGTTTCCTTCATTTTACCCCATTCATAACTAAAAACAAAAAAGCTTTATGCATGTCCCCATGTTTAATCATTTCACTTGAGGTCTATTCTATGATCCCCAAACCCACTACCATTAAGTCGATTCCAACTCCAGTGACGCTGTGTAGGGTTTCTGAGGCTGTAAATCTTTATGGGAACAGAAAGCCTCCTCTTTCTCCTGTGGAGCAGCTGGTGAATTCGAACTGCTGACTTGGTGGTTAGCAGTGCAAAGTGTAACCCACTATGCCACCAGACGTCCTCTGTTCTATTAGTGGTTACGAATCGGGCTGCGAACCTTAAGGTCAGCGGTTCGAAACTACCAGCCGCTCCGCGGGAGAAAGATGAGGCTTTCTACTCCCGTAAAGATTTACACCCTCGGAAACCCTGTACAGGGTCGCTATGGGTCGGAACCGACTCGATGGCACTTAACAACAACAACAATGCCTGATACCTTCTTTTGTCCACCCCCTGTGGTTTTCTTCGTTGTTCTCCTTTTCTGCACCACCACTATCTCCTACTTCATAGCTCTGATGCATTACCCACTTTGTTCCCACGTGAGAGGAGAAGAATTCAAAGACCGAAGGGAGCAAAGTGAGACTACAATCATACATGGCTTCTGTGCATGTTATTGCAAAATAAAAAACCCTGGAGATCTCTTGTTTTAAAACTTAGATTAACTATACTTGTTATTTGTGCCATAAAATGCTTTACAGTCTAGATCATTTTTAACCCATTGTCTCTTTTTGATCCTCACAGTAACATTGGATTTGCTAGACATTCTCTTATAATACTTCCTAAAATAGTTATTTGTTCTCTGTCTCTATTTTGCAAGCGTGGAAGTGGTGGAAGGGCAAGGGAATATTTGAGAAAGAAAGAAGTGAAAAATAAGACCATTGTGAGAAAAGTTTTTGCTTCATTCCTCTGAAAAAACATGCCAAGAAATGGAAAACAAGATCTTTTTATTTCTTCGTTCCTACATTTTGTGGAGAAAAATTGGCATAATATGTGGCCAGCTTATTTTGGTCATTTAAGAGGCATAATGTGTAAAAACTGTAGATATTTAATAACTTTTACTGTAATTATTCAATTTGTTCTGTATGTTAAAATCTTAAAGCCAATGTGGACAAAATGTATTTGTTCAAATTAAAATAGCTGCCTCTCCTGTTCATAATAAGCAAACTTCTCGTCACAAACTAAGGAATGTGACAAGCAACTTGCCTAACCATGAACACATTCCAGATTTCTGACAGTGGAGGAATTGTGTTGAGCCCTCTAAGTAAACTTGTGATCCTCTCAGTCAACTCTCCACTATTAAAGGACCGATTCTAGAGTTACACAGACCTTTTGCTTGGCTTTTCTCTCTGCAATTTTTCTCTCCCGCCTTCAAATTTCATTATTTCTTCCAAAGGACAAAGATACCTTAAAGTGCAAATTGACTGATGTTGGGGTTTTTTTTGTAAAATATTATAGTATTTTAGATCTCTTAAACTATTTCTAGAATTCTTGGTGTGGCATTCTAGGATAGATAAGTACTGGACTGCTAACTGCATGGTCGGTGGTTCAAACCTGCCAGCCACTCCTCAGAAACCCTATACAGGGATATTATGAGTTGGAACCAACTAGATGGCACTTAACAATAACAAAAGTCTTTTGAAAGGAGCCCTAGTGGTTCTGTAGGACAAGCACTGGTCTGCTACCACAGTTTTAGCAGTTCAAACCCACCAGTTGCTATGTGGGAGAAAGATAAGGTTTTCTGCTCCCATAAAGACTTACAGTCTGGAAAGCTCTATGAGTCTCTATGAGTCAGAATCTACTTGATAGCAGTGGATTTTGGGGGTTTAAACTCTTTCTTGGTAGGAAAATATTTTAAATATTAACCAAAGACTGAAGATAATCTATGAGTTTTAATTACCACATCTTAAGTAGCCAAAATTATCGGAGGTTATGTTATGCCTAGATCATTCATAGAATGCTAACTTTACAGTCTAAGTAGATCAATTCAATAATGTTTAAATGATAACTTGTCATTTACAAGTGAGAAGAGAAAGTATAGGCTCAAAACGCTAGACTCAAGTTGCATTTAAACCTTCGTTGGTTAGCGAACCTGGCAGGTTTTTGTGAAAGTAATAGAAGTAATCTGTCGTTTGCTTTGCTATCAAGTTGAGTCTGATTCATAACTACCCTATAGGACAGAGTAGAATTTCCCCATAAGGTTTCCTGTAATCTTTACAGAAGCAGTATTGCCACATTTTTCTTCTGCAGAGTGGCTGGTGGGTTTGAACCACCAACCTTTCAGTTAACAGCCAAATGCTTAACCTTGTGCTACCACCAGGGCTCTTGGTAAGAATGACCTTATTGTTGTTAATGTGCCATGGAGTCAGTTCTAACTCATAGCAACCCTGTACAGGGTTTCTGAGGCTGTAAATCTTTACTAGAGCAGAAAGCCTCATCTTTCTCCTGCGGAACAGCTGGTAGTTTCGAACTGCTGACCTTGTGGTTCGCAGCCTGATTCGTAACCACTACGCTACCAGAGGTCCTGTTGCCGTTGTTGTTATGTGCCATCGAGTCGGTTCTGACCCATAGCGACCCTGAACAGGGTTTCCGAGGCTGTAAATCTTTACGAGAGTAGAACTGCTGACCTTGTGGTTTGCAGGTCCGATTCGTAACCACTATGCTACCAGAGCTCCTACCAGAGGTTCTAGGCCCTATTAAGTGAACTATGTCCTATTTTTTTTTTTTTAAAAAAACCAACAACCAAAAAAAGTTGGATTAGGACCAGTGGAAGAGGGAGAAGACAATATTCAGAGAAAGGAAGCCACACCTGTGAATCACAGTCAGAATTCAAGGGAGCATAAAGAGGCTTCTTTGGCAAGAGCAGAGAGCTATAAAATATAAGGTGAGGCCAGAAGAAAGGAAACTTTGACTATGAGGCCCAGGAGTGAAAAGTAAGCTTCAGGCTTTTAAGAAGACTGACGTGATAAAAGTACTGTGTCAGAGTTCTGATGAGGCGCTGTAGGATAAGCACTGGACTGCTAACCACAAGGTCAGTGGTTCAAATCCACCAGTCACACCATGAAAACCCCATCCAGGGTTGCTGAGTCAGAACCAACTGACGGCACTTAACAGCAACAATAGTGGGAGAAATGGACAGAGCAGCAGTGCAGAGAGAACCGAGGCGGGAAATCATCATTGGCTGTGGCAATTTTCCCGGGTATCTATTCACTCAGCTAGGCGCTGTGCCACCTTGTAACAAAACCTGATGTGAATGTCACACCATACTTTCGGAGTTTTCATCCAGAAGGTAGAGAAAGGGAAATGAGTATGTTTTCAGTCCTTATTTTATGACATTTTATTCAGTCCACATAAACAACTCTGAGGAGATTGTTATTATTATCCTCATTGTCAAAAGGAGGAAACTAAGGCTCAAGTTAGGTAATAATTTCCCTTTGACCAACCAGAAAACCAAATCTGTTGAGGCCCTTCTAACTCATGGTGACTGCATGTGCTACAGAGTAGAACTGCTCCATGGAGTTTTCTCGACTGTGATCTTTATTGAAGAAGATCACCAGGCCTTTCTTCCACAGCTCTGCCAGGTGGATTTGAACCACCAACCTTTAGGTTTGTAGTGATGTACAGACTGTTTGTGTTACCCAAGAACCTTCCTTTGATCATTTAACTATGAAATGGCAGGGTCCGGTTTCAAACCCATATCTAACTTCAAAGCTCTTGATCTTTTTACTGTACCAAGACTTTTTCTAAGATGTTTTTAGTATTGCCATCTTTCCCTAAAAATGCTGCCTTTCCAAGACCTAAATGCTATCTCTTTTTGTAGTTCTTCAGCTGTCTATGTAAGAAGAAGTAGGCACAGGCCCTCCATTGTTTTCAGAAGACCCGAGGAGGCTGTGTTGTCTCCATTGCCACCTTCTGTGGAGGACACAGGATTACCTTCTTATGAACAAGCAGTGGCACTGACCAGAAAACACAGTGTCTCGCCACCACCACCATATCCTGGCCCAGCAAAAGGATTTAGGGTGTTTAAAAAATCCATGTCACTCCCATCTCACTAAGGCCATCTTGCCATCTTGTTGTATAGGAGATGTGTTACTTAAATGGTTCATTCTTCCCAAATCTAAAAAGACACATCAATTCAGCCCTTTTTGGCAAAGGAGGAGTAAACACACACACTGCACCACAGAAGTTCTGTCTGCATCTTGTGTCTCAATTTAATCATGGTCTGCTTGATGGAAAACTTCAACTCCATCATTACCTTGTGGTAAAGAACAAAGCACTTTTCTGTAATGTCTGTTTCAATGGTTCAAAATATCTATTGATTTATATTGATGGCCTAGTTATATACTGGTGAACAGTTTGTATCCTTTTGTACTGATAAAGGAGGTAGATTTCTTGTGTTGAATATGAAAGAATATAAGAATTTTCAGTCATTAGATTATCCCAAGGCATGAAATTGGATTCGATTTTCATTCAGGTTTTCTTTTGGTTGAAAATACTTCACAGAGTTTGATATTTCAATATAATTGGGTGACCTTAATATAATCACTTGGTCTTATATTTTAAATTATTGCATAGCATTTTCCATACCTTGCAGGTTTTAGCTGTTGATTCTTGTTATCAGTCATGTTTCATTATGGTGAACAGAGCTAATAGTTTTCTTTTTTAAAAGAAAACTACTACTACTTGAAATGGAGTTAGTTCTTCAGAGGTAACAGGGTTGCAATGGCAAGAATATGCATGAGTTTGCTATACCATCAAATAAATAAATGGGCTTCAAATCTAGGAGCGACTAGAACTTGATGAAGTTGCCCATATTCATGAATCTTTAGAGCTAAATATATTTAAGTACATGTGATTATCTTGAAAATTAATCAAACTCTATACATAATACTTTGAGAACCTTGAAAAAGAATTCTCTTTTCTGCTAAAATAACATTGATTAGATTTATCATTAGCGCCTTACCACATCTGTTAACATGTCTGAATACAAAAGAAAAATATCTTAGATAATCATTTTAAACCATACTTTTTCTCTTTGAACTTTATACATGACCAGTCTTTCCTTAAAAACATAATAGAGTATAAGCTATAAATGTCTGAAGTGAGTGTATATGTGCACCAAGTTATGTGAGTAGAAATGTGTGTGAGTGTGTATATATAGAAACTTGTTTCCAGTTTGAAGGAGGGTCACTGCTGAGAAATAGAACATTTAATTCTTTATGCTTTTGCCAGGTATTACATTTTCCTATTATTGAAGATCACTGATGAAGCTTTATTTTGTTTTGCAGTTTTTACAGGGGTGAGACTGTAGCCCACATGGATTTGATTATTCCTTCCAAATGAAATGTTTAGGGAGTATAAATCATATTACAGTTCATGTGTGAGTGTGTTACTCAGCACAGTCTTAAGGCAGATAAAAGTAAGATCTTAATCATTACAAACTTTATCCATTTAGATTATCAGTGTCTCTTTAGTTGCTTGTCACAAATAAGTCATCTAGCAACATCTAGATTTAATTAGAAAAAGTGGTCTGTTCAAAACCACCCACAATACCTATAAAAATTCTGCTATTAATCATTCCTTGCCTTTACATTAGTAACTTTTCTCATGTAACTTTGCACTTTGCACTTCCTTTAATCCTCTCTAAAAGCTCAGAGGCAAACTTTACCTTGTTCACTTTGCCATAATCAGATTAAGACATGAGAGGATAACTTGATAAAAATCTAACAGGTCGGTAAAAACTGGGTGTTATGGATTGAATTATGGCACCCAAAAATATGAGGGGACTTCAAAAGTTTGTGGGAAAATTCCACTATTTTTCAATTCATTTTTTTTCCACCAACTTTTTGAAGTTCCCTGTATGTGTTGCAAATCCTAACCTTTATTCCTTTAGTTATACTGGGAAATAGTCTGCCTTTGTTTTGTTAATGAAGCAGGATTAGTAAAGTGTGTATGGTCCATTTCTTTTGAGATATGAAGAGATTAAACAAGTTAGCAGAAGCAAAATGGGGGAAGATTGATGCAAAGCTATAAGGAAATCTCCTTATAGAAACCAGGAAAGAAGTTGAAAAAACAAGAACCCCATCCCACCCCCACCTTCCAATTTGGATTTCTAGCCTCTTAAACATGGAGTCCTGGTGTGGTGCTATAGGATAAGCACTGGACCACAGGGTTGATTTGAACCTCAAGGTCAGCAGTTCAAAACTCATCAGCTGCTCCTCTGAAACCCTATAGAGGATTGCTGAGTCAGAACCAATTCCATGGCACTTAACAACAGAACTTGAGAAAGTTAATTTCTATTTAATAAAGCCATCCAATTAAGGTATCTCTGTTATAGCAGTACTAGATAACTAAGACACTGGATTTAGAATGAGCAGGCATACTTTTCCAGTTCTAGCTATATCTGTAGGATGACACTAGATCAAATTATAAACTTTGGGGATCTTATTGCTTAAATCTAAGTGTTTATGATAAATTTACAAGTGTTTGTCAAATCCATAGTCATATCTATACCTTATTGTTCTTGTTAAATGCCGTCGAGTCGATCCCGATCCATAGTGACCCTGTATAGGGTTTCTGAGGAGTGGCTGGTGAGCTTGAACCGCTGACCTTGCAGTTCAAATGGCTTTGCAGTCTGGCGCATTAACCCACAG